AAATGGTCTATAGTTCTTTTTTCCAACAAAGTAATCGATGATAACATTGGAGAAAAGGGGGATGATTATGTTGAGAATGAATCTTATATTATAGATGATCCAGATGAGAATATTAGAGCGGACGAATCATATATTAGAAATGATCATAACGAGGGAATTTGGATCAATCCATCTGTCCGTGTTGTTAAGAGACAAGTAAACCCCATTACAACAAAAAAAGAAAGAGATGTTAAAGGATCAACCATTCTGAACTGGGCGTCGGTGTTATGCATTCATGCATCAGGTACTTCGATCCTTTTTAATTAAATAATTGAACATTTTAAAATTTGCTCGTTTAACTTAATATTCTAATGTTGATTATGTTTTTTTAGGTTCTTGTATGACAAGTTATTGGTTCGACGAAAGAAATAGTGTATTACATAGATTCATTGGATGACGATACAACAAAATATGAAAATCTGAGGAACTTTGTTGATACGTAAGTGATGACATATACTGTTGTCTTTAATTATATATCTTTATTTATTATGTGACATTGTTCTAAATATGCGTTTATATTATGTTAGAGTTATACAAATATTCAGAGCACAAAGAGATGCAACGGTGCCAAAAAGTAAGGCTAACAACATCAACTGGATCAGAGTGGAGGTATATTCTCGCATGTTTCTACTTGATAAAACTATTTAAACTATATATCCGGATAAATGTTCGTTTGTTTTTTCTATTTACAGTGTCCTCGGCAGCGCAATGATATTGACTGTGGATATTTTGTATTGCGCTTTATGAGAGAAATTATTCTTTCTAGTCAACTTGAGATTCCAGTCCTGATATGGATCAATTCATTATATAAGTTATATGATTCATTTTGATAATTATCCGATAATTCATCTGAGTAATTAGTTTTAAACTTAAATCTTATTCGATCTGTTATATTATGTAGTATTATGATGAATTCAAGTGCGCTACTTACACGAAATCAAAATTGGAAGAAATTAAAGAGGAATGGTGTCAATTTATTCTTGGGTTGAGAATTGTATAGAGTTATCGGATTGGAAGACTTGTAATTATATGTGAATTGAATGTATTTGTGTTGTTGTAATTCTGAGGATCGAATTTTGTTGTAACATATTTAAACAGGTTTATGTGTATATTAAAATGTTTATGAACAAAGTCATGAGTTACAATGTATCCAAAGTTTTGAATTGTACATATAAGGCCAAAGTTTGAATTGTATATTTAAGGCCAAAGTTTGAATTTTATTTATAAGGTCAAAGTGTTGAAATAAAGGCCTGAATTATAAGCAGGTTTGTGTAATATAAGCAGGTTGTTGGTAAAATATACAAAACAGGGTGAATATTTTTATAAAAAAAAAATTTAAAATATGGGACATTAGACATCACTTTTACATAAAAGCGCTGCTAAAGGTCACAAATATTACGCTACAAAAGCGATGCTATTGGTTTGGAAGGGGGGGGGGGGTCTAAGGCAGCGCTTGTACAAAGCGCTGCTAAAGGGTGGGCTATGGCAGCGCTTTGCAAAAGCGCTGCTAAAGGGGGAGTCTAAGACAACGCTTTTTGAAAACGCTGCTAAAGGGGGGGATGGTTGGGGAATTATGCAGCGCTTACAAAAGCGCTGCTAAAGGGCTAAAAAAGCGCTGCTAAAGGTGCTGCTGAAGGGAGCTTTTAGCAGCGCTTTTTCATTGAAAAAAAGCGCTGCCTTTACCTTTAGCAGCGCCACTTTAGGCAGCGCTTTAAAGCGCTGCTAAAGGTCTTTTTTGGCATAGTGGAATATTAGTATTATTATTATTAAAATGAATATAAGGGAAATAAGGGTAAATTGGGCATTATGAAGAGTTAATAAGGGTGTTATGGGAAAAGCCCAATTTGTGAGGCTCAAGACTAAGTTAGACAAAATTGAGTTTTGAAAGGAAATCAGATTTCATTTTTGTGTTTAACGTGAAAGTTCGTGGCCAGAGCTCTGAAGGAAAGGCTGGAAGCAGAAGATCCCAAAGATTAATCGTGAAAGTTGCGAATCGACTAAGGTATGGGGAGTATTGTTTTTCATAGTTTTCTATGTATGATTTTCGGTGTGTTTATGGTTGATTTAAGATTTAAGGTATTTTGGGTTGGTTGTGGGAAAATAGGGAAATTGGTGATAAGACTTTGAGGTTATGGTTAATGGTATGTAACACTGAATATTTATATGAGAAAGGAAACCTTAGGGCTTTGTGGCCAAAACCTTAAATCGTTATATGTCTGCCCATATGGGATAAAATATTTGATATTTGAAATTACGATGCCTTCGGAGCAATTATAAGGAAATTGACGGTAGACTCTGGAGGTTAGTGGTTAGTATTTTTGACCCTTTGAGTGTAGAGATGAGAAATAATGATTTTTGCCTTCGTGGCCAAAACCTTGGATTGTGATATGTTTGACCCTGTAGGAATATGAATGTTCATATGTGAGTAACTCTGAAGTACTCGGAGTAGTTGTAGGAAATAGTGTTTTAGGCGTTGCAAATGTTGGCAGAGGAGCCTAATAAACCATATAAGTTGTGTTGTTATTGTCGTATAACCTTAGGAATGTTTTAATGATGTTTTGGGTACGTTGAGTGAGTGATTCGTAAGAATAATTGAGTAAAAATCAGTTCCGGAGCGTAACAGCGTCTTTCTGATTGTCACGACTGTTCATGTTTTTGGTCGAAATTGTTTTGGACGTAACTTTTGATCCGTAAGTCCGTTTTGACCCCCGTTCGAAGCGTTGGAAAGCTAATAAACAGAGCTATAACATATTATAGATAAGAGAATTGTTTTCCCAATGTTTTTATATCTAATTATGTTTGAGAAGTCAATTGTGTATATGTTCTATTAATGAATCATGTTCTGGTTCAAGTATGTCTTGATGTTTTGATGCTGCAATTTTTCTGATGAATTACCATGAGGGTAAATGTGATAATATGATGAATTAACGTGAGTAGAACCGTGAAGTTTATGTGATTGATAGGCGATAGTGTGAGGATTACCGTGAGTATAACTTGATAAATTAATATGAGATGATATGAGGGTACTACTATGAATTAATATGGGGTAATATGTGATAAAATGACTATGAGCTAATATGTGATTTATACGGGATTATATGATGACATGATGTGTGAGATTAATTAATACGATGGACTATGATGATATGTTGTATGATGAATAATATGATGAATTATGATGGTATGATGTATGATGATTAATGTGATTAAATATGATGATATGTTGTATAATGATGATTACTGTGATGAGATATGATAACATGATGTATGATGATGATTGTTATGATGAGCTATGATAACATGATTTATGATGATGAATATGACGATGAGATATGACGTGTAATGATGATGAATATGATGAATGATGATGCACCATATGCTGTTATTATGAGGATTGTTGTGAAGTGTGCATCATGCATTCATGTGCATCCGGACTTCGGTTCAGGACCTCGATTACTTTGACTTCAATCCCACTGTGTGGATGTGAAGTATTTTGATGTGCTCTGATCCTATTGATGGGGATCTATGGAGGGTTGATGGCCTAGTTGGTGGACTTGATAGTTTGGAGTAATCAGACTGATGATAATGATTTTAAAGTGGATGAGCAATGTGTGCTGAGATTCCGTGATAGAATTTGTATTCCCGATGATTTTGAGTTGAAAAAGATGATTCTGGAAGAAAGTCATAGGACTAGCTTGAGTATCCATCCAGGAGCTACCAAAATGTATCAGGATCTGAAGAAGATATTTTGGTTGCCTTTATTGAAGCGTGATGTTACATAGTTTGTGTATGCTTGTCTGACTTGTCAGAAGTCAAAAGTTAAGCATCAGAAACCTGTTTGAATAGAAAGATTATACCAGAGATTATTTTGGTTCGACCTAAACCATGTGCCTTACTCTAGTCCATAAGAGTTTCACCCTTGAGATTTCCTCTAAAAAAAAAAAAACTTTTGCAAAGGTTCAACCCAACAACTTTTCACAAACAACTTGAACATTTGCACATGATCAACCCAATAATATTTCACAAACAATCTTGAGCTTTTACACATGATTAGCCCAAAGAACCTTAAACAAAACATATAGAATTTTTATACATGTTCAGCTCAATAATCTTTTACAAACAATCTTAAGCTTTTACACAAAACCAACCTAAACAACCTTAAACAAAACACTTGGAGCTTTTACACAGGTTTAACTCAACAACCTTAAATCATGATTTTTTATAAATTTGTCTTGCAAACTTCAAACCTATTAAGAAAAAAATTACGCTATTGAATAAATAATTACAACACAAATGTTAGATGAAACTTTTTACTCTCTTAGCACTAAAAAAATATGACTCAGAAAGTAAACAATCAATCGATTAAAACCCTATTTTAGTCGACTAGCTTAAACCCAAAAAAAGAAATTTTAAATTTCGACGTCACTTAATCAAATATAAGTTTCCTTAATCGATTAGGAGACATTACACATTATTTTAATATATCATACATAATAAGAAATTAATCGATTAACTAATGTATTTTGTCTTTCTAATTAATCAAATAAATTTCTTAATCGTTTAAACACTCGTCCAAATTCGAATAATTTGTTTATAATTGTTGTGTTTTTATTGAGTCATATAATATAGTAGCGATTACTAAATGAGTTATATAAAGTATCTTAAAAAATGGTTCCTTCCATTTTTACATAATAGAATCTGTCTTTCTGTGGTGCCAATGCAAGTACCAATGTAAACCATGGATACTTGGTCTGACAAATATGAACCACAAGATTCTGATTTTTCAATACAAACCTATCCAATGAGATTCTTCATGCCACATGGCAACACATGATCTACTATCAAATTCACATTATCCTTTCAGATAAGAAACATTGCATACATTAATAAAAATTTGCATATTTTCTTTCTCATTCACATCAATACAATCACTTTTATCCCTTGAGGACAAGTTCTGTGTCATGGCTTCTGCTTGTGCTTCTTCTGCCATTGCAGCTGTTGCCATCTCTACTCCAAGGCAAGTTTCTCCATACACTAATCACCTAAACACATGTAACAATTGTGTAAACATTCTATGAACTATTTCATGTATTATTCATTCATTCAAATTCATGCTAGTAAAGTAATACTAGACTGTATATGTGAAATTGCATGCAGTTCCCAGAAGAATGGATCACCCTTAGGAACCTCAAGAGCTTTTCTTGGGAGGAAACTGAAGGTGAACAACAGCACTGCATCATCTTCTAGAGTAAGATCTACTACAATTGTGTGTACAGTTGCTGAGCCTGATAGACCTTTGTGGTTCCCTGGAAGCACCCCTCCTCCATGGCTTGATGGAAGTCTCCCAGGAGATTTTGGATTTGACCCTCTTGGTCTTGGTAAGCTTTACTCAATCAGTAATCAAATTTTATGTTACCGAATCGATCCCGGATTCTTAATTCCCGTAATTTAGTCAGCAAAGTCAGGCTTGTCTCTGTGTAGTGTTTGTATCGTATCTGGTGTCTGCGATTGTGTTTAATAGGAGTACTACATTTAGGGATGGTTGTAAATTGTAGGATTGTTTTCGTTGTTAGGAATTTGAGTGAGCATAAAAAGAGTGTTGGTTGTTGTGATTGAACAGGATCTGATCCAGAGAGTCTGAGATGGAATGTTCAAGCTGAGCTTGTACACTGCAGATGGGCAATGTTAGGTGCAGCTGGAATTTTCATTCCAGAATTCCTAACGAAGCTCGGTATCTTGAACACACCTTCATGGTACACTGCTGGAGAGCAAGAGTATTTCACAGACACAACCACACTCTTCATAGTTGAACTCCTTTTCATCGGTTGGGCCGAGGGAAGAAGATGGGCTGACATCCTCAATCCAGGTTGTGTCAACACCGACCCCATCTTTCCAAACAACAAGCTCACAGGAACCGATGTAGGGTACCCTGGTGGACTTTGGTTTGATCCACTTGGTTGGGGAAGTGCTTCTCCTCAGAAGCTTAAGGAGTTGAGAACAAAGGAAATTAAGAATGGGAGATTGGCTATGTTGGCTGTTATGGGAGCTTGGTTCCAGCACATTTACACCGGCACCGGTCCTATCGATAACCTCTTTGCTCATCTTGCTGATCCCGGTCACGCCACTATTTTTGCTGTAAGTTCCATCAACATCCCCTACTCCTAGATTGCATATACTCTTCATGGTTCGGTTCAGGAAGAAACATAAACTTCATGAACCGAACTATTGTAGCTGTTCGGTAAAACTGAACCGAGCTGCTAACTATTTGTCCTGAATTAACTGAATTGGTATTGAACATTATTATCATTTTGGAATTGTTTGAGCTGATTATATCTGCTATTGCTGCTACAGGCTTTCACTCCCAAGTGAGAAGGGCTAAGACAACTATGATACTCTAAACCTTGGAGAAACAAAATGGTGAACATGTTTTAGCAAGTTGTAAGGCTTACAATGTTTTTTTAGGGAGTGTTTATGTTGGTGAAAGCTTGTAAAATGGTTACCTAATTCAATATCATGCACAGGTTGATGGTTCAATGTATAAATACCTATTTAATCATAAGTTTAGATGCCTTGAATGTAAATCCAAGTAGTAGCAAATTAGATTTTTGCATGGATGGTATAATGGTAACTAATGCAGGGGATAATAGACTGTCCTTGCTATAACCTGCCAAATCTTCATTCGAAAAGATGTTCATTTCATAACTCTGAGGACAGACAAAATATATGAACACAATAACAACAATTCCTTAAGTTTAGTGTGACACAATCGAAAGATATTTAGACTTTGTTTGGATTGATGAAATCAGATGGACACGGTATGTGATGGAATGAAGTGGTGTTCTATTATTTGAATCATTTAAAATCAAATAAAGCGGAATGGAGTGGTATGGATTTCATTCCATAACTTACCACTATATTTCTCCTATTCGATTTGGACAGAATGAAAATTTTTCCTTGTCCCGACGATAAAATGAAATCTTCACTTTACTCTATCTTCCTCATTCCATTTATTTTATAATATTCAAACATAGCCTTAAGTTCCTTAAATATGTGATCGCGGGTTCAATTGATGTGAAGGGAAAGAAACATAAGTTGAAGGATATCAATTCTTAAAGTGAATCTCAGTTACTTCATGCATTAGTATCTACAACTGAGTGTGGAAATACTTCGATTTACCAAAGAAGAATAAGAAAAGCTCCTCTTAAGTATTGTGATCGACAAAGAAACTACTCTTTTGATTTAGCAGTCAAAATCAGCTATGAATAACAAAGTGTGATAACAACGAAGAACAGGAAAACTTAAACGTAATTACACATGTCGATGTCGTGTTGGAAATGTCCGTGTTATAGGGCTAGGTGGCCAAATATTCATGCAAAGATGAAGTTATTTTTGGTTCTAAGGCCATACATAAAACCTTCAAATATATTAAGTTTCTTAGGTATAATGCATACAATCACACCTCATTAATGAACTTCATTCCTTCTTCTATAATCTTTAGCCATTTATTGCAGCATTGGTATTCTATGTGTATCAGAGTTTCCAATTTCAATGAATACTAATTTCTATAGCAACTCATTACAATTTCCAAAATAAGCAATCATACTAATATTTCATAAAAACAATGTAATCATGTCGATACACCAATACTTATTTGCATCACTTTCAAATCCTCAATTTCTATGTTTTTAGCCACTGCTTCCTGTAAGGAAAACCAAGACAATGATAAATTAAACAAAACATAACAAGGAAGAGAAGGACGTATTTCACACCGATGAACACGAGTCACTGATCATGATCGTTGAATCTAAAATTTTCATAGATGATTCTTAAGACACACTTTCAATCTGAAGCATAGTTTAAGAATAAACAAAAGAACTCCTAGCGTTGTAGGATATCTTACCACGAGAGCTCTTGCTCCACAGGACTTCACTATCGATTCTAGTGAGATGCTCATCATCGAGGCGTTTCCATGTCTTAATCGACCCGACATCTCCCCAACTTCCCTTGCCCGTCTTCTCCAAGCTAGCTACCACCACTCTTGCTCTCCTAGACCATCCAGCCTGTCCATAAGCATGGTATCCAAACCCTCCGGCATAACAAAGTTGTATATCCATTAGCTTGCCGCAGAAGTCATTGATGTGATCATGGCCAACGAAAACGGCCTTTACATCTCCTGCTTCAACCAAGGTTGTGAAGAAACCAGAGTTCACCGAAGCAGAACTAATGCCATCACCGCCGTCGGTTTCCATTTTCACGCCTGTCATGTTTGATGAATCAAAACTTGCGTATTCCGGCAATGGGATGTGAAAGTATGCAAGGCCAGGAGCAGCTTCTTTCTGAGGCACAGGTCCCTTTATGTATTTTTTCTGCAGAATAAATCAAGAGTTAAGTGCTTAACATTAATTTTAGCAAAGGAAAAACAGAAAAATAAGCCATATTTTGAATTAGGCTCTGTTTGGATTGAGATGTCCATAAGTGTTTTCAGCTCATTTCCAGAAGCTCTCCAAAACTACCTTACGAAAACAACTTATAGCTTAAATGAAAACAGACTTCATTTTATCTTTGTTCTAGAAATTTCTTATACATAAGCACTTAATAAATGCTAAATTAAGTTGTTTATCCAACCAGACCCTAAGAATCTAAAGAAACTTCTAATCATAAGCAGCTACTAAACAATAAGAGAAACTAGATAATTTGGTTAAGCTAAGATGAGACAGTACCCGAAGCTTTGCAGACGTTTCCTCGAACCAAACTTGCTGCGAAGGCTTGATCCAATCATAACCAGGAATGTCAGCAACTTTAGAATAATCTCCACTATCAAGAAAGTAAAGATTGAGAACCGATTTGTTTCCGAAATCAGTATCTCGAACACCACCAACCTCCAAGTTATAGTTTCCAAATCCATCAATGCTATGCACTTTTCGAGGCTTGACTCTAGATAAAGTGTTGTTCATCCCAACAATATATTTCATCACACCTTCCCTAGAGAGTGTTCCTTCTTGGTCATGGTTTCCTAAAACAGCCACCCAAGGAATGTTTGATGCAATTGCAGGAGCAAATGCAGCATCCATTGATCTCGCCGAGTCCGACAAATCCAAGCCAAAGATATTATCTCCTGTCATACCAGAAAACAAATTTGCACAATATTTTATCTCGCATGAACATATTTTATTCAACACACCAGAAACACGACACCGAAAAACGTGACACGCCAACACCAATAATAACAAGTGTATGCGTTGTTTCAGATTTTTTTTAGAGATAAGGATGCTACAGATCACAATTAGAAAGAAAGGATAACTAGAAACCAAAAAGTGAACAAGAATTGAACAATACCAGTGAAGACAATAAGATTAGGTTTCTCAGCAAGGATCATCCTATGAATGAAAGCGGTGGTGTTAAGATCAGTACAAGAAGCATTTTGAGAAGGAAGAACATCTAAGCAAAGTGTAGTTTTTCCATTTGCATAGTGCATATCTGCCACTTGCAATATCTTGAATTCTCCATTTTCATCGAATCTCAGCTTCTGTTGTTTTGCTGCAAAGGTAGGAATTAACCAAAAACATGACATCAATACTAGAAAAATCATGAAATTCATACCCAGTTTCATTTTGGTGTCAAAATCAAATCTTTTACTCAATATTATCACTGTTTTGGAATTTCAGTGGCTAACACCAATGAAAAATCTAAACTTGTTGAATTTGGGTTTGTGGGCTACATTATTATGATTATTATATATGGATGATGAATAAAGTGATTGTCTTTATTGAGGAGAAAAAGAAGACAAAACATAAATGCTTAGGCCAACAAGGAACAAGAAATAATACCTCTCTTTGAAAAGGGACAGTATCATTTTGGTATAAAAAATTGATTGGAAATAAATGTTACTTGTATCTAGAAATGGTTTATTCTTTTAGCTATACCATATTCTTTAATTATTATGGAAGATATATTGTTTGATAATTTAAGTTAAATATTTATAATAAATTGATTATTTATTTATTAAATTACTCTTTAAATTTATAAAAATGTATCATCTTAATCTTTAACTAGTCATATATAGCCGAGTTGTAAAAAATTAAAAAAATATCAAAAATAAGATCAACGATTTAGATTTAGCACCGATTTTGTAACGTCACTAAAGTGTATGTGTTTGTAGGTATGAAATTGATGATCATGAAGTAGATTACCTTCTTGATATTTTGATGACAACAACACTTATGTTTCTTGAAGTCGATGGTAATATATTTAATTCTTTGATGATGGTAGATAACTTGAAGTCATCTCAACCCTCATCAAGTAGGTGACTCAACGTTCCAATGAAGTGCTTATATGATTGATGTATTTGACAAACGAATTTGAAAGCCTAAGAGTTGTAAAAGAGAGGATGTTGAAAGTGCAATCATGTTATCGTATGGTATCACTCATTTGTTTTGATGTTTTTGTTAATTTAAGTGTAGTTGTTATAATGTGTTTATGTATTTGTAATTTGTTTATCTTTAAATAATTGTGTGTTTCTACTTTATTCACATTCGAGTTCAATTTATAGGTTGAGAATATATTGTAGAAGTTGTTTATTTCATTAAGTTGAGATTTTCTACTTATACACAGTAAATATGACGGTTTCAGAGATTTGCTAAAATCTCTCCATAACTTATTGGCCACATATTCAACATAAAATAAGGAACAACATTGACTGAGTTTATTTAAATAAATAACATTAAATGAAAAGGCTAAATAAGATTAATTTGATTCTCTAACACAATTGTTGTTTCAGCTATTTAAAATGTGTACCATTAAGACCATTCATTATTCAATTTAATTAGAGAGTTTGATTTCTGATAATGACTCTTTTTAAGCCTGACAATTTATTTTTGTGTCGTTTCATCCGGCATGACTTGAATCACAAGTTAGAACACTTAAATCTAGATGTTGAGCGATTTAATTTGAATCAAGTATTAAACATGATTCAAATCATAAGCCTTGTGAAAATTGGATTTTGCCTTTGGACAGTTTGATTCGAATCACAAAATGAACATGAACGAATCACAACCTCATGTGATTCGAATAAAGTGTAAATCCTAACTCGAATCAGATGCCTCCATGAAGCCACATTTGGGCTCTGCTCAAATTGATTCGAATCACAATTTCTTCTTGATTTGAGTAAAAAATTCACCAGAACAATTTTCCATCTTAGATTTAAATAGTTGTTTCTTTAATGAATGAACATAACAAGTGAGTGGAACGTGTGGAAAAAACCCACAGAGAAAAATATGTCAATCTATCTTCTCTTCTTTAGTGTGTCTATACCCAACACCATTATTCTTTCTCTTATTCTCTAGAATTTTTTTTTAGTGTTAATCCATGTCAGATTCACTTCTTTTTATTGCACATTGTTCTCGTGCAATTTGTTGTTGTCGCTTGTGAATTAGAGAGTTAGTTAATTAGTCTTGTGTGTTTATCACGATTAATTAAGCTCATGATATCAATCAAGAATCAAGACCCATTTACCCATAAATTAGAGAGAATTCTGTGTGTTTGTTCTTCTTTCACCCACATATAATTACTTGACTAACATTGTACCACCCTTTTCTACCCCACAATTAAATGGCAAAATATTCACATATATCAGAGTAAAATATTATATTCAATAAAAATCACCTCAAAGGGCGTACATTTCTCAATAAATCAAATATAAGTCAAAGCTCCGTAAACAACAGATTTTCTCAAAAGATATCAAAAATTGCAGCGAAACTCAAAAAGGCATAATCCAAAATTTTTTTTATGCGGGAACATAATCAAAATAACCAAATCAAATAAAATAAGGTTTGACTCAAAGACCCCAACCCGATATTACACTATAAGAGCATGACCCTCTAATTCAACCACCATGGTCAACGACTCAAAAACTTCAAAAGCCCTCGACGGCATCCACGGCTAAACCTGACCATCTGCATGTTACCCACGTGAAGGCAACATTCAAACAGGCAGGGTAAATAAAATGATTCATAATAATCAATGTAGAAAATCAACATATAAAATGGTGTCATTTTCATATTCAACATCATCATATTCATCAAGGAACATCAAAGGCCACAACATCATAATTTACTCAAGATCATCTCATAAATGCAAATGCAACAAGACTTAATGCATGTGGTACCAATCAAAATACCTCACATCCGCACAATGGGATTGAAGGCAAAGAAATCAAGGTCCTGAACCAAAGTCCGGATGCACATGAATGCATGATGTACACGTCAATAATCATCCTCATAATAACATCATGGGTGCATCATCATTCATCATAATCATCATCATCAACTCATGTCATCATAAAATCATCAAAACTCATGGAAATATCATCACGGCTCATCAATCATTACATCATAAGAATCATCATATAAGCATGTACCAATCATATAAAATTCACAGTCATACTCATATTCATTCGTCAAAGAAGTCACAACATCAAACATCAAGGCATCGCTGCACAAAATCAGAATTCGCGAAACTCTGCTACGTTCGCTAGCAAGTTCGTTGTACGAGTCTGGGGCGAGTTTCTTCGCTGTGCGAAGGATTCTTCTCAGTACGAGTTTGGGACAAGCTTCGTTCGTTGTGCGAAGGATTCTTCGTTGTGCGAACAACGCGATGACAGCAAAATGCTGTTACGCACCAGAACCTAAAATCAACCCAAAAGTCTCACGATTCACTTCCCCAATGCCCCAAAAACATCCCTAAGGTCTTACGACGATAAAGGCACAAAACCTATGACTTATTAGGCTAATCCCATATCATATTCACACTCTAAATCCCATAAATTCTTACAACTACACCACAATCATTAGAGTTCCTCATTATCCAATTTCCTACAGGGTTAGACAAATGTCAAATCAGAGCTTTGGCCACGAAAGCCTAATTTCCTTTAACCCAAATAAATTCCTACCGTTAAAATCTCAATAATAGATTTAGGTCACGAAGGCCAAATTACCTTTATCCCATAATCAGCCTCAAACCCTTTAAACCCTTAAATCGGCCTTAAATGCATTGAAATTACACATTGAAAATAATGAAGGCAATACTCCCTATACCTTAATTACCGACTCTAAGCCTTCTCAAATCTTTCAGAAAACCTTTCAAAGCTTTTGCCTCAAACCTCCTCCTCAGAGCTCTGGCCTCAATTATTTTCACGGTCTAACAAAATGAATCTTAATCCCATCACAATTCCCTTTTTGTTAAACCTAACCTTGGGCCTTAAAATTGGGTTTTCCAATATTACCCTCACTAACTCCTCCTCAATTGTCCAATTTTCCCTTAGTTAACTTATATTTATTTAAAATAATAATAATACCAATATATCTATATTATATACTATTATTTAAATAAATAACTTAAAATCCATAATTCTCAATATTCCACAACAACTACCGAAAATCACCGAAATGCGAATATTTTTATTTAAATAAATTAAATAAATATTCCAATAAATTTGGGGTGTTACAACTCTCCCCCACTTAAAAGAATTTTTGCCCTTGAAAATTACCTCAAGGAAGCAGAGTCGGACACGACTCCCTCATTTGATCTTCACGCTCCCAAGTTCAACTTTCTCCAGCTGGTCCTCCCCAAACTACCTTCACCAAGGCAATCTTTTTACCTCGCAGCTGCTTCACTTCTCGTTCATCAATCCGAACTTGAAACGTCTCAATAGTCAAGTCATCTCTCACTTGTACATCATCCACATGCGACAGATCTGGAATGTACTTCCTCAACTGAGACACATGAAACACATCATGTAAATTCACAAGCGACGGTGGTAAAGCAATCCGATGTGCTACTTCCTCCACCCTTTGCGAAATATGATACGAACCAACAAAATGCGATGTGAGCTTTCGAGACTTCAAAACTCGGCCAACACCAGTTACCGACATAACTCTCAAAAACACATGATCTTCGTCTTGGAATTCAAGTGCTTTCCTCCTCTTATCATAGTAACTTTTCTAGCGACTCTGCAATGCTTTCATCTTTTCTTGGATCATCTTGATCTTTTCAGTCGTCTCTTGCACAATCCCAGGTCCGAGTACATCACTCTCGCCTGACTCATACCAACACAAAGGAGTCCTACACCTCCTACCATACAAAGCCTCATACGGTGCCATTCCGATGCTAGAATGATAACTATTATCGTAGGTAAACTCAATCAACGGCAAATGGCTATCCCATGATCCACCTTGATCCAACACACAAGCTCTCAGCAAATCCTCTAAAGACTAGATGTTCTCTCTGTCTATCCATCCGCCTGCGGATGATAGGCAGAACTCAACCTCAACTTAGTACCCAAAGCTGTCTGCGAACTCTCCCAGAACCTCGATGTAAATCTCGGATCTCTGTCAGACACAATACTCGAAGGAGTACCATGCAGTTTCACAATCTGATCAATATAAACTTCGACAAGCTTCTGCAACGAATAATTGATCATCATCAGTATAAAATGAGCCGATTTGGTCAATCTATCAACAATCACCCAAATCGAATCATACCCCTTTTAGAGTCTTTGGTAAACCTGTCACAAAATCCATAGAAATGCTATCTCATTTCCATTCTGGAATATCT